GAGATCTCCCCCACTCTCTTACCGAGTTAATGGCTTTATGTATTAAGGTGGATGACCGGCTGCGAGCTCGTCGTCTGCCGCGGCACTACAATTCCCAGGAGGCCACGGGGCAGTGGAGGGCTGGCTCCACCTCGGAGCCCAGCTCTTCCCGGCAGGCAGAGAGCGCAGACGGAGGAGAGCAACCCATGCAGATTGGAGGCTCGCATCTCTCCGCCGCGGAACGCCAGCGCCGTATCTCTGCCGGTGAGTGCCTCTATTGCGGCCACAAGGGACATGTGGTCGCCTCTTGCCCATCTCGAGCAAAAGGTCGCGCCCACCAGTGACGGTGGGCGGTCTCAGCCAAGACAAATCTCCTCCACGGTTAATGCTGTCTGCCCAGCTCACGGTCAACACCAAAGGTCATGTTCTCTCCGTTTTGATAGATTCAGGGGCGGAACAGAATTTTATTGACTCTGAGTTAGCAGACCGCCTTCAGCTAGGGCAGGAACCTCTTCCCCACACTTTGCGTGTCACTGCTTTGTCCGGCCAGCGCCTACCTGACATTACTCACGTCACTGAGCCCGTTATTCTTACTCTGTCTGGCAACCATACTGAGGAAATATGTTTTTTTGTGTTTAAGGCCACTCGGACGCCGCTCGTTCTCGGGCACCCCTGGCTTCGTCAACACAACCCGTGCATTAATTGGCTTACGGGACGCATTACGGGGTGGGGAGAGGAATGCCATATGACCTGCCTTAAATCCGCCTCACCGCCTCACACACCAGCCTCCCTCGCCAAGTCGACCGCGCCCTCCGATTTGTCTGGAGTGCCCCCTGTTTATCATGATCTCGCCGAAGTGTTTCGCAAGGACCGGGCCCAGTCGTTGCCTCCTCACCGACCGTACGATTGCGCTATCGACTTACTCCCTGGCGCGCCATTGCCTACTAGCCGTCTCTACAGCATCTCTCTACCGGAGCGAGAGGCTATGGAGTCATACATCTCAGAGTCCCTCGCCGCCGGCTTGATCCGCGCATCCTCATCGCCCGTAGCAGCAGGGTTTTTCTTCGTCGAGAAAAAAGACAAGTCTCTCCGCCCGTGCATCGACTACCGTGGATTAAATAACATAACCATCAAAAACAAATATCCACTCCCACTTCTGACCTCTGCTTTTGAGCTGCTCCAGGGGGCGACAGTTTTCAGCAAATTGGACTTGAGGAGCGCATATCACTTAGTTCGGATCCGAGAGGGCGACGAGTGGAAGACCGCCTTCAATACTCACCTTGGACACTTTGAATACTTGGTTATGCCATTCGGCCTCTCTAATGCTCCTGCAGTTTTTCAAGCACTCGTTAATGATGTTTTGAGGGATTTCATCGACAGGTTCGTCTTCGTCTACCTCGACGACATCCTGATCTTCTCCAAATCACTGTCAGAGCATGAGACCCACGTCAGACAGGTCCTGCAACGCCTGCTGGAAAATCGGTTGTTCGTAAAAGGTGAGAAATGTGTCTTCCACATGTCCACAGTTGCCTTCTTAGGCTACGTCATCGAGCAGGGAGACCTACGTCCTGACCCAGCTAAGGTGAAAGCCGTGGTGGAGTGGCCTGAACCCCCCAACCGACGGCAGCTGCAGCGGTTCCTCGGCTTCGCTAACTTCTATAGGAGGTTCATCCGGGACTATAGCAAGGTAGCTCTGCCTTTAACACAATTGACCTCTCCCAAGGTTCCTTTTCAGTGGAACGATGCTGCCCAATCAGCCTTCCTGGAGCTGAAAGAGCGATTCGCCTCAGCACCCATTCTGGTCCAGCCCGACCTAACCCTGCAGTTTGTGGTGGAGGTGGACGCATCCGACACGGGAGTAGGAGCGGTCCTCTCGCAACAGAGGGATGGTAAGCTCCACCCGTGTGCCTTTTTCTCCCGTCGTCTCACCCCCGCAGAACGCAACTACGACATTGGCGATCGGGAACTTCTTGCCATCAAGCTCGCCTTGGAGGAGTGGAGGCACTGGCTGGAGGGCACTGCCCAACCGTTCATCGTTTGGACGGACCATAGGAATCTGGCATATCTGCAAACCGCAAAGAGGCTTAACGCCAGACAAGCAAGGTGGGCTCTGTTTTTTACGCGGTTCCACTTTTCAATCACTTACAGGCCAGGATCCCGCAACGTCAAGCCGGACGCCCTGTCTCGACAGTTCTCCACCTCCGAAGACCCGGCGGACCCTGCTCCCATCCTCCCGGCCACCTGTGTGGTGGGGGCTGTCTCCTGGGAAATCGAGTCGGCCATTCGCGAGGCTCAGAGAGCCGAACCGGATCCAGGAGGCGGCCCTGCGGGGCGCCTGTTCGTTCCCCAACCTGTCAGGTCTCAGGTGTTACAGTGGGCACACACAGCCCGTTTCTCCTGTCACCCAGGAATACACCGCACAATTGCTTTCCTGCGGCGCTACTTTTGGTGGCCCACCCTGAGCCGGGACGCCAAAGAATACGTCTCCGCGTGTACAACCTGCGCTCGAAACAAGACCCCAAACCAGCCACCCTCGGGTCCGCTTCATCCCTTACCCACGCCTACCAGACCATGGTCCCATGTTTCTCTGGATTTTGTGACCGGCCTCCCGCCATCTGCAGGTAATACGGTCATACTCACGATCATTGACCGCTTTTCTAAGGCGGCTCACTTTGTTGCTCTGCCCAAGCTGCCTACAGCATTGGAGACTGCTCGCCTGCTCACCACCCATGTCTTTCGCCTGCACGGCATTCCAGATGACATCGTGTCTGACCGGGGTCCTCAATTCACGTCCCGTGTGTGGAGGGAGTTCTGCACCTCATTGGGATCTAAGGTCAGTCTCTCCTCTGGTTATCATCCGCAGAGCAATGGCCAGTCCGAACGGGCGAACCAGGAGTTGGAGGCGGCCCTGCGCTGCGTCGTCTCTTCCAACCAGGCCGTCTGGAGCGAGGAACTGCCCTGGATCGAGTACGCCCACAACAGCATGACCTCCTCCGCCACGGGCCGGTCCCCTTTCGAAGCTTCTCTGGGGTTCCAGCCACCTCTTTTCCCCTCCATCGAAGGTGAACACTCTGTGCCATCCGTCCGGGCGCATCTGCGTAGGTGTCGTCGGGTGTGGAAGGCCACCCGGGCTGCGTTGTTACGCACCAAGGACCGCAACAAACGCTTCGCTGACCGCCGCCGGTCCTCCGCTCCCGCCTATACTGTTGGGCAGAAGGTATGGCTTTCCACACGCTTCGTTCCCATCCGGGCGGAATCCAGGAAGCTCTCTCCTGCCTATATCGGCCCGTTCGAGATCTCGGCTTTGGTTAACCCTGTGTCTGTTAAGCTCAAGCTGCCTCGCAACATGAAGATACACGATGTTTTCCATGTGTCTCAGGTTAAACCTCTCCGGTCCAGTCCTCTGTGCCCGCCTTCCAGGCCCCCTCCTCCCCCCGGCTCGTGGACGGTCTGCCGGCTTACTCGATCACCCGTATCATAGATTCTCGGCGGCGGGGGCGTGGCTTCCAGTACCTGGTGGATTGGGAGGGCTATGGCTTGGAGGAGCGGTCCTGGGTCCCTCAGGCGGCCATCCTGGACCGGCGCATGCTGCGGGTGTTCCATCGTCTGCATCCGGATAAGCCTGGTGGGTCGCCGGGGGGCTCCCGTTGAGGGGGGGGGTACTGTCATGGTCCCTGTGCCTCACCAGCTGATTCTGTATTAGGCAACATGTTTTCTCTCTCTCTCTCTCTCTCCTGCCGGGGCGATGCTCATTATGGGCTCCCGCCCCTGGCCCACGCACCTGCTGCCGATCGGGATAATCACAAGGCCGATTTAAGACAGCAGCACTGTGTCACTCGTCGCTGGATCGTTGAGTTATCAGCGTCAGTCGCTCAGTAGATTGCAAATAAGGATCTGTGAGTTCGTTCCGTCTGTTCGCCTCTAACTATTATCTCTGTGTACAGATCTATCCCGGACCTTTCCCTGCCTGCCTGTCATCCCGTGGACGAGTGAGTGGATGGTGTTTCCCCAGTGTGGGGAGTGAAGAGAGAGAGCCTTTGGAGGACGTCAGATTCCCGTCTTTTCCCTCACATACCCCGGAACCCTGGACCCCCCTCCCCTCCCTCCAGCACTTTGTAAATAGCATCACCTGGTGTCGTTGTGTGAATAAAAATCTGTAAATCCTGTAAGGAGTCCCGGTCTGCGCCTGAGTCCGTTAACTGAAACCTGACACAGTCTACCTCTACAACTACGTTTGGTTGACTCTGTGGGATCCTTTAAAAAACAGTTAAAAACTTTACTGTTTAAACAAGCTTTCTGTTGACCAATGCTGTTTACATTGTTATATTTTTAATTCACATTTAAACTCTATATTGTGTATATTGTGCATTTTGCTATTTATCATACTGTTTATTTTAATCTCTGTGTGCAGCACTTTGTGACTACCTGTCTATGAAAAGCGCTTAATAAATAAACTTTACTTACTTACTTACTAAAATAACAAACAGGGCTGTGAGAGCAACTGAAGTGATAAAAATACTGTTTAAAGATAAAAAACACTTTGATCTTCTCTTGTCACCTAACAAAGTCCAAACCCTGTGAACTATTTTAGCTTTAATAACTGTGGATTCAGGTATCCTGAACCCATCTTTGGACATTTGTAATTAAATATTTTAAAACTCCATCAGAGACACCTGATGTGGCTGTTTGGAGAAGGAAAAGAGGGACAAAGTGGAGCGTCGAGCTGAGGCTTCATTCACTGCAAACCTACAGTTATGTTTCCTTATTTCTGCTGTTTGCATGTTCACAGCTGAAATAAAGCTGCCTCTTTGACTTCATCCTGTTGTGTTTGGGTCCAATCCTGCCTGCCACACAGCGCTACAGGACAAAGTCTAAGATTTTTATCTTTTTAATCAATCTTCGGTCATATTTATGCAGGAAAACACAAACATGTAAAGGAGTCATCACAGGTCTCTGACCTCGTTGGTCCAGGTTCACCACTGAAGACTGGAGGGTAATGTTTGGACCGGTCACTCCTCACAGACGGACAGCTGGATCCTGCAGACTGTGACCTCTGACCTCTGCAGACACAAACATGTTTTATTCAATGATCAATTCTCTGATGAAGTGATTGAAGCAGCTGTGGTCACACAGACTGCAGATAATGCAGCTGTTTCCTGTCAGTAACAGTCCTCTTAGATTAGAGTTCAGCTTTTTACAGGAAAACAAATGTCCCTGAATGCAACAGTGAGACACAGTCTGCCTGTGTGGCTGTGATAGCTGCCGTTAGGAGCGCTCATGTGTTTGCAGTTAGACGAGGAGATGTTACCATCATGGACACGTTAACAAATCCTGCAGCATCACGTGGCACAAACACTTTGTGTTCCTGTCATCTGCAAGCAACAGGAAGTTCATTAATAAAGGCGGGATGGAGACGCGACTGTGATGGTTCTCCTTCATCCAGCTGTTACACACATCTGGGCTCACACGACGAGCCTTTGTCTAATACAGCAGCTGCTCTCTGAACACTTTTCTGAAGAGGAGCTGCACAAACCTTTGTTTGCTTTCTAGAGCAGCGTATCAAAGTCAAACTACCCACTGCTAGCAGCTGTTTCTATCATAGTTTAGGATCCAGATGTGTGAGGTCTAAATTTACACCTCTGATTAAAATACATAGTTAAAAACAGCCAATTGAGTCCAAATGTGTCTTAAACCAGATAAACTGACAGTTACAGCTGAGCCTGTGTGTCCTTGGAGACACTGCTCTGCTACAGAGATGCATTTTAGAAACCAGGAAACATCAAAATCATTTAAATCAGAGAGTTCTTGTTACTAACAGCTCACCTCTCTGCAGAAGACACAGGCTGGGATTTAAAACCAATGAATCGATGATTGGACCAGTCACTCTTTAAGGACACAGAGCTGGATGGTTTCTCATTGACGCTAAAAATATGTGAACATGTGTCACATCCAATGTGACCAATACATTACATAAAAAGTATAAACTATGTAAATAGTATATTATTTAAATCGTTAAATAGTAAAAAGCTGATTAAAATTTCAAACATTTTAATACTGACATGAACTTACTTTTTGTCAGATGACTTTTTTTGCCCTAAATTACGAAAGAAATGCTTCACCCGTTTGCTCTTAGAGGACACACTTCTGGGTGGAGGTCCAGGCTGGTTCCTGTGAATAATGATGCAGCAGTGATGTGAGTGCTGAGCTGTGACATGGAGAAGAGTCATGGACAGTTAGAGATGGTCATCTCACCTCTGAGCTTTGGTCTGGCTCTCATGTTCCCCACACAGAGTGCTTTTAGAGGGAGGGACTCCCTCCTCTCTGTCCTCACACTGATCCATGCTGCTCAATTCACATCAGCTCACACACACTTTCTACCTTCACCTGCAGAGGAAACACAAATCATTCATGTGCACATCAACTGAGAGCTGCAGAGGTCGTGTCTGATGTGTTGGACTAACATCCATCTGAGACGCAGCTTTCATCAGTTCACTACAAAAAGTGTCACAGAGCCCAGTTCAGCCTCCAAATCCTCCATTACTGTAGTCCTACAAAGCAGCAGGTCAAACATGGCTGCAGAGAGCAGCTTTATGTCAGTAACCATGTCCAGGACCGAGCTGACTGCTTACAGAGTTCATACTCTAACTGCTAGCTGCTCTGCTAGCTAAGCTAACTCAGTAACAGTGACTCTGACAGCAGTTACTGTGGAACAGCGGCCGAGCTCAGGACACATTCAGTGTGTTTAGTCTGAGTCCTGGACTCTGATTCAATGGATTCAATCCAGCTCAGAGTTTCATGTGTTCATCAGAATAAAATACATGCACTAATATAACAGAAGTAATGCTCTGAATGCAGGACTGTAATGGAGGATAAATAAGGTTTTACAGCCTGAAAGAAACATTCAGTTCATATATTTGTAGACAGTGAAGCAGTTTTTAATACTGCAGCTGTTTCCTTCACCTGTGTGTGTGTGAGCCACACCTTCATGTGCTGCTTTAGAAATATGTGGTCTGACTGCTCAGACTGAGTCTAGGAGGAAAGTTCACACGCTGGAGAAAGTTTTGTTCCTAACTTTGTCAGAGTTCGGCTCCAAAGACAAAGAAGACGGAGCTCACAGTCTGTAGATGGTCCTCAGTGTGTGTGTGAAGCACACAGGAGTGTGTTTATGTCAGCAAATCAGTGTGTGTGAAGAGTCTGAGGGAGTGTGTGAATGAGACTAAACACTGAAACCAACAGTCCAAGAAAAGCGTCTGGACTTCTTTAAGTTTAACTTAAAGAAGTCCAGACGCTTTTCTTTTTGTCTCCATAATGTCTCCATAATGCTGCAATGTTATCTGCCCCAGAAACACTGTGCAGAAGCTCTGATGGTGACACAGAAAAGTCACAGTGGAGATACTTCTGTCCACCTTTGATTAGACTCATTATAAAAAGGAAAACAAAGTTTGAACACAGTCATGTTTCCAGTTCACTGACTTACATTTATTCCATGGACACTCACTCTAACCTGAACCACAGCTGCGACCATATTTGTAATAACTACAACCCAAACATCAGATGTTAATCGAAATTTTTTGCTCTCTCTCCTTAAATGTGTTTTTAATGTTAGTTATAATTCAGAATTGGCGACTGGAATACGTATGACACATACGAACATCAGGAAATAAAAACTCGATAAATATAACCTCAGTAAATGAAGTCAGTGTACAGCGTGGAATTATTTTATGTCATAAGAAGAAACATATTCATGTTAACACTCACCTGCCTCAGCTCCACCTTCCTCCTCCTGCTGCTCTGAACGGAGGCTCAATGCTTTCACTTTCACTGCACCTCCCTAAACACAGAGGATGCTGGGACTTGTAGTTGTTTCCTTCCGGTGTGGTCTTCCTCTTTGTTTGTTTGTGTTTGTGTTCAAGTTATTTCGATCATGTAAACATCAACAAAACACGTGAAGCCACACAGAGTTTGTATGTCGAGGTGGGTAGGAGGGTTTGAGGGTTTGGGGAGGGGTCAGAGGGAAGAGGTCTCTCAGTCTGGACAATCCACATTGATGGCTTTGCATCTTTCAACGTGTTTGTGGGTCGATTGGGATGCTCCAGGTGTAAGAGCAGCCACTCAGCCTCTACTGCAGATGTGTGTCACAAGTTCATCTAGTAGTAGGCTATGGCACTTGGCCACAGGTGGCAGCAGTGGACTGGTATTAAAACCCGATTCTTTGATCCCCATGATAGAACAGAGAAAACCCGACTCAGAGTGGTCAAAACATTTATGATTCTTTATTCAATCATCTTCCGGAAGAGATCCGATGGGCCCAATGGCAGTTGTAGGATCTCTAACATTAGAAGCTAAAAATGTGTCTCATATAGGTGTTATTTTGGTACTTTACACGTCACACAGTTTCAACAACTCCTTATATGGTACAAGTTCCTCTTTTCTGTCTGGCTTCCTGTATTTATTAATATGCTTGTATATTTCTACACGAACTTCCTGTTTTTCAGTCTGGCTGAGCACTTAGTTTGTGAGTCAAAAGTGGCCTTGCTTTACAAACCTTCATTATTAAAGTACATAAAACAATATAATCAGAAAATAAGCACTAAGAATATATTAATTACATGACAGTTCTCCCCCTTTTCGTGTTTGCTAAGAAACACGACATAATTCCTAATTTATCCCATTAAGTTTACCTGCATGTTAAAAGGCTAAAATATAACAAAAGAGATTATGCTAAACAAAATGAAACCTTTCAATTGCCCAACCCTATCTGTCCCCTCAACGGGTTTTATGTTTTCAATGTTTCATTATTATTTTGTCATAATTACTTCTATCCACAACAAATAAATCAAGCTCTAAGACAGCACCTGTGAAATGTGAAATGTCCTAAATCTACTTCCTACACCCCCTTTTTTACCCAGAATCCCAATTTAAACCCACTTCTGACTTCCCTCAGTGCTCACTGTAAACTGCAGATACAATCAGTTATATATATATATATATATATATATATATATATATATATATATATATATATATATATATATTTATAAAAAAAACCAGCACGCCCCTGCGGGCGGTTTATCCTTCAAGCTCGGGTCCTCTACCAGAGGCCTGGGAGCTTGAGGGTCCTGCGCACACATATATATATATATATATATATATATATATATATATATATAAGAAAAATCACCTTTGTGAATGGTATACCGGAGTCTCTGAGTGACGATGTCCTTTTACCTCCGGATAAGAACGATGTGATGAATACTGCGTCTGACAGCATAGAAGTTCAAAATGTGTTCACACAATACGTTCATCATAGGAACTTGAGCTGCATGTGTTTAGTTCAGAATTTTGTTGAACACTAATTATTTAATTCTGTTTAACAACCCCAGAGATAAATATCAAATTTCAGTTTTAGGTAGACAGATGTTTCCAGGTAATACAAAATACTTCTTAGAAGCTTTTAATGATGCCACATCCACCCCATACGGGTATCTTCTAATCGATTATAAATCTAAGACGCCTGACTATTTAAGACTCAGAACCAATTTGTTGTCAGATCGTCAAGTTGTTTATATCCCCAAAAAACGGCTAAAGCGGTAAAAAGGATGTCGTATTCACGGATGCAGAGAAACATTGCACTGTTGGAGTTGTTGTATAAATCCCCACCCAGCGTACGGAGGAATATTATTTGTAATGCAAGCATGGATTTTATTAATGCTCTGTGTGAGATATCGCTCAATGTTTTGAAAGGTGTTATCCCGCTGACTGATCAACAGTACTGTGTTAGGGAAAATATTCTAAAAACTTCTTCAGTAAAGACTGACTGATCAAAATGACTGATCAACAGTACAGACAGCTAAAAAAGAAGTGCAGTGGGAGGGGTCTTAGAAGGATTGGGTTTATACACATACAAGCCGTTGCCATCCTGCTTAGTAGATGTTGGCTTGGTTATGTTGGATATCACATCAGACACTATGCCTGATGCTGCTGTTTTTAGGTGGGGTTTGACTGTGCTGACTCCTTTTTTAAACAATGGTACAGCAATTCTAAACAGGCTGCTGAACAAACCTCCCAGACCTGCGCCACATTGCGTGCTGGTCCCAATATAACCATTCAATTCGCCACCAGCCTGAAAAACGGTATGTGTTGATTTTGGTCGTCTATCAAATCAATTTCTATGTCATGGATTAAGGATTTGGAGACCTGTGTGTAGTGTGGGCTGTCAAACTGAAGAATGGCTCCCCGACGGTCATCGTCTGTTATATTTATTGCTCTTAATAGCCGCGCATGGGCGTCACCCACAAGCTGGTAATCAACGATATCTGCATAAATAAAAATGTTCTATTTTCCGCCGTATACGTCTGCAGGATGTGGTGCGTATGTGTTTTTATAATGAAGTACAAACGGGTCTTCTGATTTGAATCCTAAGATTCCTGCCAGTCTCCCTCTAAATGTGAGAACTGTGCCCCTATAGGGCCCATAACACTAACATAGTTACTAACTTCACTGTATTGTGTTTTAATGTCGGTGTTATGTTTTAATGTTTTATTATCTGCGCCACAGATGCATAATGCCCCACAGACAGCTCAATCACGGTTATGGACAATGCTCCATCTTTGACTGGATCATAAATTTCCACTCGCGAATCTGATTGTGGAAAAGACAACCATAGTCTTGGGTATTGAAATTCTATAACACCGACCTCATACGGTTCATTTAAAACAATAGGTGTTATAACCTCAGGATAAAAATGCTCGGAAACTCAAGTGCCAAGTGCCTCTTTTTTCTGCCAAGTATTTTCTCTATTTGAAACCTTTTGTTTTTGTCAATAGTCACCTGCTGTATCTCAGGTTCGTAAATTACACCTTTCACTGCAGCTCCTGTGAGATCCTCTAGTTTGTATACGGGAGGGTCTCTTCCTAAACGCTCCTTTATGGTAAAGTACTCGTCTGTGTAGGTCTGATGGTAACCCTTTCAGAATATGCCTCGTAGTTTAGATATTCTCTCTGTATCGCCCACATTAAATTTAAAAGTCACCGGTTTTGGGGTTTCATTTTGTACAGGGTGTTAAAGACTGCTTTCTCATTATCTTTGCACACCTCAGTGGGGTCATTTTGATAGAGCTGTGATAAGACAGGTTATAGGACTGTACAAGATCTTGGATCACATTAACATATCTTGGCCAGTTAACTGATGTTAAGTATTTCCACATTTTCCCCTTTAAGGTGCGGTTAAAACGCTCTACCACACATGATTTCATTTCACTAAAGGTTGAAAAATGTGTGATGTTATGCTGCTCC